GAACAACGTGGTGCAGACACCGTACGTCGGTCAGTCGCCGCAAAGTGGCATTTCCGCGGCGTCCCCCTCGTCGGTTATCACTCCTATTGTCACCTCGCTGCCTCAGGCGCATTTAAACGTCATCAACAGCACTTTGAATGTGCAGAACAAGAACTACATGGACAACATTCAGAGAATGAACGTCCACACGGCGGCCACAACGACCACGGTCGTTTCACCGGGTTTGCACGCGAACGCCGCCGACATTCCCGAGATGAGTTCCACCGTTTCGTACGTGGGGAGGTACGAGCAAAAGGCGAATCAAGACTCTACTGTGATAAAAATATCTTTTTTTTAACGAAACGTAAACGTGTTCTAATATACTTCTCGACTATGAAGCGTTTGTTGCTTTGTCTCTGTAATCAATTTTTCTTGTACGACAAGTAAGTATTTTTTTAATGATTTTTTGCAATGAATTGTTTTAAATTTCATAAGGAGGTGAAATACAGATAATTTATACATTCGCAAATTGAGCGTCTTAGATGAATTTTTGAATTGAAATCAATTCGAGTTTCTGTTGTGTTATCAATTTACACGTTTAAAAGAATTTATATTTGCACATGTAACAAAAATTATATTTGTTGCAGCCAGCATAATTGGCTTGTAAATTATTTATAAGTATTTCTCTTTTTGTTTTTTGTTTTTACTGTATTGTATTTTTTTCAGGAAAAGATGTGGGTAAGGAATGTAATATTTGACGATTGTCAGAAATCTTTTTATCATATGACTTTTATAAATAGACGTTTTTATTATTACTGTATATCAAAGTACACAGAGAAATATTTGAGATATAGATATTACTTAACATTTTAAGTATATTGAATTGTTAACACTGTACATAATAACATCTCGTGTATTCGTTACGCAGATAAATTCATCTGTCGAATAAAGCAAGATTTTGTCAGGCGTAACACGTGTCACAATTGTTGAATTCTTGTTTTATTTTTTACAAAATTTCGAGATTTTTTTTTTTTTTTTTATTTCGAGGCACAGAGAAACATTACGAGTGACTAATACGAGTGATCTATTTATTTGGCTAACAGTGAGAGTTACGTATTTTATTTTATTTTTTTTTTGTATAAAAATATATCTTATTTCTAAAACAAAACGTTTTCCTTCAGTCTCTTTCGGTAAGAAAAAACTAAGCTATATTAAGTATTCCTTAGTTTCTGACAAAATTACGGCTTGCGCTGCGCTTTTGCACCGCGTGCTACGTTGCGTATGTGCGCACGGGCTTGCAAATGAGACGAGTTTCTTTGCTCTGCCGCGTGTTTGTTGATCCGTTGCGATGTCACGTGCGCGATGGATAGCGTCGAGATCGGTCTTGTTTCAGATGCGGCGATGTCATGCGCCCTTCCAGTATTGTCGAGTAGCTGTTGAAATAATATATTCTCCTATTTAAATGATTTTCATTACTCCAGAAAAAATTATTGCATACATTTTTATTCGACTCGATCTTTGTCGCAAATAATCTTCATTTTTTCAGCAACATATTTTTATATGTACATATTTATTAAAACCAATTTACTAAAAGTTTTTATTTCGCGAAAAAAATTTAATTTTGACGTTTTTTCCGACTCTTTCAGATCGTAGATCTTAATATTTGAGGAGATGACGAAAATTACTTGTATAATAAATATTATAGTAGATTTTTTGTTGTATTATTTGCATAATAATTATTTTATTAGTTTTCAGCATTACGTAATTAATTTTTTTGTTTACTTTTTAGTATTTGCAACCTAATAGCTTACCGTCGTTTGAGGATTTGTCACTCGCAGAGATTTATAAGAGGCACAAAGCAATGCAAATTGATATGTCGCGTGACGCTCTTCCTTTTCCGGTCAAATTTAACAAAATCGTACATCACTTGTGCGCACAATCGTACATCGCACAGATTGTTTCTGTGACGTGTAGATTATGTTTCAGAACGTTCGAACGAAAGAGTACGGACGAAAGAAAATCATTTTGTGATGCAAGCGTCAAGTTTTATCGCACACATATCATTTATTGTCGGCGAAGTCACACAGAGCGCCGCGCTGTTTTTTTTGTTATTTTTGTTTTTGTCCCGAAAGAGTTAAATGATAAAATTATCTATTGTTCAGCTCACTCATGTAACGTGTAAGCTCCGTTTCGGTAAATTCGGTCTCTTCGAGGTCCTTCAGGCTGGAGTTGCTGATCGTGTCGCTTTCGTATCGCGCCGGCACGTTTTCCGATTGCTCCTTCGTCGGCGAGGAGTTGTCCGGTCTCTGCTGAGCGAAAAATCCGTTCGATTTTATCGCGGGTTTTTTGTCCGTAAGCGCGATGTGCGTTAGTCGTTGCTGCTCGTCGTCGTCGACGAATGTCGCGTGCTGAGTGGCGTCTAAACGATATCTCGTCGTCGGCTTCTGGCACCGCGTTAAAATACTGTAAGTCGGCTGTTTGTCCTGACGGGACGAGAACTTCTTGATGTACCATTTGGGCAGCATCGACTACGGTATTACATGTTTTCGTGAGGTAAAATTTATACAGAGTACATGTATTGGAATGTATCAATAGAGAGAGAGAAAGACAGAGAGATTGAGACAATTAGTTAGTAAAAACCAAGTTGATATCGATTTATATCGATTTCGCAATCAATGTAAAGGTAAAAGGTACGTATGATTGTTTTGTCTTCTTTATTTTTATTCTGTTTTATTTTCTTTTTTATTTTCTTGTTTTTCGATAATCGTAGATCGCTGTACAAAAAATCCACTCGTATCCGATAAAAATACTTTATTATTATTGTTTCAACAAGCCGTGTGCGATAAAAAAATAAAAATACACACGTTCCGATGAGGGAAACGAAGCATGCGAATAAACTTGTCTTGTTATAATCGCGCATATATATTTATGTGTATTTTGGAGCATATTATCGCAATAATATTATCGCAATATTTTGTGAACGCAAGAGTTTGTGTATTCTCCGCTCGTCTCTCTCTGATCCGGAAGAGGTTTACCTTGAATGCTTGTCTAAACTTCTTCGACATAATCTGGTAGAGAATAGGATTCACGGTTGTTGATAAGTAATAAAATATCCCGGACACGTAGGTAAGAACCTCGTATATCGATTGCAGTGTGAGAAGTTCCTCGGGCCGTTTCTTCACGCGGCTGCTGGCGTAGACGGCAAGTAAACGTTGAGCGTGAAAGGGCGCCCAGCAAATAATAAAAGTGACGACAACTGCAACTGGAAAAAAAATTCAAAAACATTTTTCAGACGCGCGAAACAAACTGATGAAAGCTCTCGAACGACTCCCTCTTTCCGCTTTGTTTCCCTTACCGTGCGGAAGGTTCACCGCTTCGACTCGAAACCTCGAAAATTGACCCGCGCGATTTGTCGAAAATTTCTTTCGGAAAAAAGAATTACCAAGAGAAGGTAAAAAGTAAATTTAAAATTCGCGTGCGCGGTAAATTTCAAAATCCCATAACTTGCAGAAAGACTTTTCTTCGACCGAATAAAGAAATTTTATTTTCGGGGAAAAACATTATCTTCAGATTTTTCTCTCGCTTCGTCGAAAAACGGGCGCGTTTGCAAGATCGCTTCCCTTATTATGTGCGTTTGCGTTTTATCATTCAGCGAGACGTGTGAAAACAAAACAAACACACGGGACTTCGTTATGAAGATAATCGCGCGACGAGACAAGACGCAGAGCATCCCAGAGTAAGTTCTCGAAGTTAATTGAACGTGTTTCTTCCTTTCGTTGTTGTGTCATGATACGCGACCGAGTTCGATCGTCAGAGAAAGGAGGAGGAATAACAGAGGCGCGTACACACACGTGAGTAACCGAATTTCTTCCATCACGAAAGAAAGAGAGAGAGAGAGAGAACTGTTCCCCAGGGCGTTACGAATAAAGAAACAACAAAACAAAAGAATCTATTTTGACGGAAAAAAGAGACGAGATAATTTTGCGGGAAATTCGACAGGAGAGAAAGTGTTTCTCTATTTGATTGATATAAATCGATGCGGTCGAAAATTGGCACAGATAAATAAATGGCCATTACCGCGATGGGTATACTCGGGAACGTCTCTACTACAGATCGAAAATAAAGTAGTAGACTTAGATATTTTTAGCGGGCGACCTTCGGATTATTATCGACATACTTCTTTCGAACAATTCGTTGTTTTAGGTCAAGAAACGAAGCGGATTCAAGGTAGAATTCGTAGAAACATTTTTTTACGCAAAAAAAAAAAGATCAAACTATTTCAATGTGACTTCTCGAATCTTGTCCGTCAACTTTCGCTCTTAACCGACCGGATCTCAGAATATGCCCGCGAGTTCATTTGCATAATCAATCTTGCGTAAGATGAGGAAGAGCTGAAAGATTCGAGAATGCGGACAAAAAAAACTAATTGACATTTTTTCAACGTGTTTTAAATCGCTCATTAAGCAATTACTGAGTTTTATTAATTGTGTTAGAGAGAGAGAGAGAGAGAGAGAGAGAGAGAGAGAGAAAGAGAAAGAGAGACAGAGACACATAACTGTGAAACGTCCTGTTTAGCTCGAGACGTCGAGAGATTATACACGCGGAAGAGGGGTTTTAAAACGGTCGACGCGTGGGCGCTAAATTGAAAGATTTGGGAGATCTGCAAATTGCCATAATAATTCAGCGTAAATTTGGATGCGACTAACCACGCATCTCACCGCCGAGGAGGTTCTTGATACGCGCACGATCCGGGAGGGGAGATCCACTCCCGCGGTGTAAACCTTGCGTAAGCAAACGGGTCGAAAAATAGACAGAAATTGCTCGGACCGCATCATCGGGAGCAAAGATATACAAGCGCCGCGCCGTTACGTCAAAATGCATCCGCAATATAAACACGTGGAAGCGACGATTGTTTTTGTCCTTGTCGGAAATAAACGGTTTAGCCCGCTAAAACCAAAACTGTTTTCAACTTATTTGAGGTAACACTTATCTCGATCGTTGAGATTCCAAGCAGATATAAATATATCGACGCGCAACACGGTTAAAAATTCGCCTCGGGTGGAATTTTCGAAAGAGAAAATTCGAAATTAATTGTTTCGCCTTATTTATATTCTTTTAATGCGAACAAACACAACAATTCGAAAGTTCGAAAGAAATTTAATAAAAAAAAAAAAAATTTCTACAGTCATTCCCGACAGTTGGCGACACTTGGCGATGGAAGAGGCGCAAAAAGTGAAAAATCGTTTATCGAGGGCTGTTACTTGGCCTGTTACTGCGCGAGAAGAATAATGTTTGCGGGGTTTCGCGCGAAAACGAGAGTCCCGCCACGAGCACACGAGGCCGTTCCACACGGTCAAGGAAAACGAAAGAAAGACGATAATAAAACTCGGAAAGCACACTCGTCGAAATTTTAGGGACTCTCGTATTTCAAACTTTATCACCTTGGGGGGTGCCATGTAAATGTCTCCAATTTGACTTTTCCGTCGTCTCACGTCTCGATCGATTCGCCAGAATTCCAACACGTATGTTCGGTAACCTGCTTCTCGTTCTCGCGAAATAACGACATTTCGGGGCAAACATTTGTTCGGGAAAATTGCGCGGCTGTTACACACAACCCGATTCAAAATCGTGTTTGAACACATAATTCGATCGTTTAAACTGTGACGAAAAGAGCAAAGAAAATGCCAATAGTGAAACTGAAATAAACGTGTAATTATAGGAAACAGTCCTCGCGCCTTTTAGCTCGCGAAAAGAAAATTTGTCTTGAACATTGTCGAGAAATTTACTGACGTTGTGTTGTAAACGCGCGCGTTTAACTTTGCACAGTTTCAAGAACAAGAATCGTCGTAATATGTAAATAGTAGTATCATTCGCGGTTGATTTCCCTGTTTTGTCGTGAGAGAAATGGTCATGCATTCCGACAATTGCGTCGCGAGTAAACTCACCTTGAAATTGTGAGGAGAACATTTTGCGCGATGAAAAAGAGGAATTCGCAAACTTGTTTTCCGATTGTGAACTTTGACAATTAGACTTTGATCTTGAAACCGGATCGCGCGTCAACTCGTATAATCTACGGGAAGTATTTCGACCGACAGGAAGACCTGCGCGCGAAAACACTCGACCCTTTCGCATCGAGTTCGGTATCGAGTAATAAGATGCTACAGATCGGCGGCGGGTCAATTCTTTTGCCGCGTGAAAAATAGCCGGCGAATGTGTGACACACATTGTACGTGTTGTCTGTAATTTGTTTCTGCGTTTGTTTTTACGTGTTTTTTTTTTCTATTATAAAAACGTTCTTTCCTTAAGAAGTTAACCCGAGACTGTGTCTATAATTTTTGCGCCTATAAAAGCGTCGTCTCTCTCTCTCTTAAGATGCTGTAACACGAGACTGTGTAACTGACAGAAATTTATGCCCGGTAAAAAGCAATTCAAAAATATTCTAGAACGCTTTAACGTCGTTTGTGTATAAGCTGCGAAAAATAATTTATTACATCGTATATTCGTTTGCATATTCTATGCGCGACGGAATCTCACCGAGACAACATTTAAATATTTTTGATTCCGCTAAAGGGGGACGCAAAAACAATTAAGCATAAATTTGAATATCTTGCGATTTAAATTAAAGTTGCCGCAAACATGATGAATTCAGATGTTTATTTGAGTAAAGTATAGCTCATCAATTCGCTTCGAGTGTTCAGCTCGGATTTACTGCGAACATAGCTTTAAGTGAAGAAAAGAAGAGAATAAATTATATATATATAAAAAATAAACTTAAAATTTATTGATGTACGATAAATTTGAATATTTTGCGATTTAAATTAAATTCGCTTCTCATGACATGATTTAGATATTTATTTAGCATGTGCAGTCACTATCAATTTGCTTCGTGTATCAGCTCATCTCTGGAATATCTTAATTTAGAAGAAAAAAAATAAAATAATAAAAGTGTAAATTATTTGTGCATATGAAGTTGTACGCGAGCTTTCCGAACCATCCTGACATATATTGAATCATTAAGTACGAAACTTGACAAAAAACATATATATATATATATATATATATATATATATATATATATATATATATTAAATAAATATGTATACATATTTGTCAAGTTTCACAGTTGGTGATTCAGTATTACGCGTGTGACTTCTTTTACAATTCGAAGGTTTTTTTCATCTTATACAACAAAATCGATAAATTTTCTCTCGACAAAATTTCCTCATCGAACATTCCGAGTGTATTTTTGGAATCGAATTATGTACATTAACAAGTTTGTAGCAAAAATTCTCACTTGGCAACAGAAATAAGCAGAAAACGGATGATTTTATTATTTACTTGAGCAAATAATAAATTGATCTAATTGCTTTCCCCAGGACGCGCCGTAATGTTAAATCGAAATCAGAACAAGACGAACTTCGCGTAAGGTTTTCCAAGAATTTTTATATAAATTTTTATATTCAATACGGGTCGATGTTCCTGACTCTCTCTAGCAATTTATCCGCGAAATTTGTGCGTCAGACCTTAATCGGAAATCTCGATCGGCTTCTCGGCAAATATAAATCAGAATCAAAAGTAATCGGAACAAATCTCGATCTCGTAGGTGTTTCGAGGAAACGATCCTCGCATTCAACCGCAAACGATGACAAAGTAAACTCACTCACCCAGCATGCGAATGACGTTCTTCTGGGCGTTCTCTTTTCTTCTTTTGGCGCTATCCACGTGGTTCAAAATACCTCGCACGTGACCACCGCTTATGTTTTTGGTCAGCATGTTCGAGCTTCGCAGCTTGATGGCTATCAGCATGTACAGGACGATGATAATCGTCACCGGCAGAACAAAGAACAGAAAGGTCGAGATCTCGAAGGCGTGCTCGACCAATATCCACTTTATCGAGCACCTCGCGCTATCCAGGATGATTGTGGTGGTGTTGACATAATTGTACATTATACCGAACTGAATGGCTTGCGGCACGGCGAGACACAGAGCCATCAGCCAGATGGCTATGACGAACTTAATCGCCCGGGACAGCTTTGACATGGTGTGCGAGATGAAGGGATGACAAATCGCCACGTATCTAAGAAGAGTAACGTATCGTTGTTGATTTTTTTCTTTTTACAATTTTTCTTTTCTAACAACAACAACAGCTTGACACTGCGATATTGTCATTTCGGCCACGTGCGTTTTTTTCCTCGTGTTTATATATTTGTATTTTTTTCTCTGTATTTTTTAACATAAATTTTACCTCTCGACGGTGAAGGCCGTGATGGTAAGAACGGTCGCGTTGGCCGCGGTCTCCGCGGCGAAGCTCTGAAGGATGCAGAACGTCTCGCCGAAGATGTAAGGAAACGACCAGATGATCCACATCTCCGTCGGCAGGCCGGACACCAGCAGCAACAGATCGGACATCGCCAGGCTGCAGAGGTAATAATTCGTGGCGGTGTGCATGGACTTGTTGCGCGCGATCACCACGCACGTGGAGATATTGCCGATCAGACCGGTCAAGAAGATCACGATGTAGATCACCGTGATAGGCACCAGGATGGAGAGCGGGTCCCGATTGTTCGTTACATTCTCGTCGATGAACTGGAAAATCGACTCGTTGTCGACCGTTTTCGTGTAGTTGTCAGAGAGCGAGTCGTATCGAATCGTCGTGTCGTCGATCGCGAATTGATTTTCCGTCGAAAAATTCCAGAAATCTTCTGGATCTTCCTGACGAAATCGCGTGAGGTTCGTCGTTGCGCTCGAGATCATTTTGTCTTCTCTTTATCAACTTCGAGAAGATAAAGACGGTGAAGTTCTATCCGAACGAAACCTTATTCTTCTCTTTGTTTTTTTTTTCCGATCAACTTTGCAGATTGAAAATTAGATATTTGAGTGTGTGTGTGTGTGTATATCTTCTCTCTCACTTAGTTAGCTCGACAGTCGCTCATCGTCGCTTGTAAATTATTCACAAAACGAAATTACGACGAGGAGGGATGTTTTGTGCGAATTGTTTGCACTCCTTGGCTTACGCGAAGACGAGATCGTCGCAAGCTCGACGGAATCGACAATCGAACGATGAGGCTTGACCGAGACGCGGCATCGTCGATTTTTCAATGTGTCTTTTTCGATGTCAAGTAGTTTTTCTCAGTCAATTGGCTTTTCATATTTACTTTCGTTCTCGTGTCTCGATTCTGAAACAACAAAAATATTTCAAAATATTTTTCCTTAAAAAAATCTTCTATTGACGGACAACGCAAGACGCAGTTTATTATTTACGCACAATACACATTTGTTACAAATGAGTGCGGTCAAAGCTTCACTGCAAATGTTTTGAAGCATCGTTCTATCTTTATTTCTCGTTGTATGTAGAATAAAGATAGAATGATACTTGGAAACATTTGCAGTGAGACGTTGACCGCACCCAAATGTTATACATAGATTCTAATCGGTTCTAATCGATTAATCGCGCGAATTTGTGTCGTTGCGCGTGCGATTATGACTTATATATTCGCTCGTTACGTTACTCGACAGCGTGAGTTTCTCTTTAAAAAAATTTTTTTTTTAATTTGAACTGTTTTAATGCGAAGTATCATTAGGGTGTAAAATTATTTACGTGACCTACTTGGAACAACGCAGAAGTGGTGCGACGTAGGATCTTTGCGACGAAAAGAAAATACATAGATAGATTTAATATTTATACACGATGAGAGGCGGAAAGAGCTTTAAAAAAACAAAGAGAAAATTTGGTATCCAATTTTCTACTTCATTATGTATTAGCAAACAAAGATACGCGGAATGAGATAGAAAGACGCGCTTGTTCAAATCTCTTTCGCACACTTTGTAATCAATTAATGAGCTTTTATGAAAAAAAAAATATATGTATACATGTAACAACAATAGTAATCATAATTGAAATTAATTTTTGATGCAAAAATAATTTCGTGCAATAACTTTGCTCCGACGTTACTTTTTAAACATATTTCAAATATATTTCTTATCTTCTGTGTGAAGATCTCACATGTGTGTGAGAAAAGATACGACACATTTAGCGGTTTTACATTTCGGGTTTTGTTAACATCTGGATATACCAATTTCTTTCTAGTTCGTGACAAAACGCACGAGATAAGTATGCTTGTTTTCCCAGATTAAAAGCACAGATACTATATATTTTGATTTTGTTTGCGAAACGCAAAGCGGCTAACGCGGTTTGCTTTCGACAAATAAACCGGACACAGCTTCCGGAAAGTTGTAGCGTGCCGGCGAGTCACACACCTCTATCCGCTCTGCGCCCCTTGTTCGTGACGAAGTTCTAAACCTGTTCACACGCGCCCGAAGTAATTGTTTCTCGCCGCGCACACGATCGTGTTCGCGATGTTGTCATCGAGCGCTTTTGTAAACGTCGTTTGCTTCGAAGCGGAAACACATGAGCGCTATTTTCGACGTCGATCGTCCTTGCGAACCGGTCATTATCTAATTGTCACTGATAAATCGGTGTTAATTAAACGTCGGAAATCGTTTCAACGGTCATTAAATTTTTCTAATCATTTCGCTCGCGCTTATCTCGTCGCTTCTTCGTGAATCGAGAACTCTTCTCGCTGAAAACTCTCTCTGTAGATTTAACATCCAATAATTGTAATTTATATGAAAATTATTTTGTTTCGAAATTGTTGTTGTGCGAGTTTATCAAAATTGCAAAAATTAATCTTGCATTCGGAAAATACATAACATCGGGATTGTGTTTCAATTTAGTCATCAGATCCGCATTAGATTCGCGACGAGAAACTGATGCATAAACACGAACAAGCAAACACAACATTATTTCGCAATCAGCGAACGATGATCCCTCAGGGTGTTAAACTTTCGGTATTCGGAAACAAAACGCACTCTGTGAAAAAATGCGCTCTCGAGTATTCTCTTTTTGAATCGAATGTCTGTGCGAAATTGTTGAAAATGTACAACGGTTTGTTGGAACGATTTTAAGACGCGTATTCTTGAAACAGAGTTAATCGCAATCGCTTTGAAAGATATAAAACACGCGCGCAAATGCTAACACGAAAAAAACGTATCTTTATGGTGTGATTTTGCTGCTCTGTCATTTTTACGAAGTCGCTACCGTGACTTTGCAATGATATAGACGTTGAAAAAAAAAAAAAAAAAAACTACTTATGAATACAAACTTATATTTAAATAAAGAAATCGGCGCCTTTCTTGAAATGGCAAACCGGCAATAACTTAAAAAGATTTGAGACTGGCTAGGAATAAAAGTAACTCTAAATTTAAAGACGCAGAAACCAGCGTCGCAATGGTGTTGATTTTTAACTAGGTATAATAAATAAGCTCCGAGAGATAGTCAATTGAATTATTTTATCGCGTGTATCGCGGCAACGCTTGCTTTGTGCAAAGAACGGCGCTTTTGATTAGTTGCGACAGTTGAACATGCGACTTCTGTAAAAATAAATCTCTCATCTCATAATCTTCCTATTTGCTTACGTTATTCCGATGTTGTAGCGGATTGTTGATCTTTTTAAGCAAATCAACATTTCTCTCGCAAATACGACAAGTAACACGGACAAAACACGGTGATACAGAAAAAAACCAACAAATCGACGTTTCACATTTATTGATTTACGTTCGAATATTGTTATTTGTCTTTCTTTTCTCTCACCTGTTTATATCCATTAGTTTCCGTCGTGAAAATAAACTCGATAAAACAATTTATTGCAGCAAGATGCACACGCTCCATTACGAAATATGATCAAATATTTTACGAAGATTAGACGCGAAGTTTTTCCCCTCGTCTCTCGTCTTTCGTAGAGCGAGCTACTTCAATATGATATCCAATTATTGGGAATAGCGCGCGGTTCGATTACGGAGATCGTGTGCAATATTCGCGATTAGATTTCCACCTTTCAATATTATTGACACTTGTTTAAATGTGTAACGCGGATCACCGCGGATAGAACGGAATGCAAACATTCCGACACGATGCGCGTGCGTGAATTTATTATTAAATTCCGTCGCTTGTCTGTGTCTCTCGCAGTATTTCGATATATTTTAAATGTATATATACAATATGTATATACAATATATATATATACATATATACACACACACAGTGCTTTTTGATAACATTCTATCGATAATATTTCTTTAACTATATAAACGAGATAAATTTGAAATATTTCATTCAATTTTATCTTTCTGAGTAAAATTGAAAACTTTTTTAAACTTAAGCAAGCGACACATAATTCGAAACGCGCGGATAATTAACACAGCGTGTTAGCATCAACGCACATTTATTATTCGATAAGCGCTAATCACTACACGCAACGCGCGTTTACACGACGTAGTATCGAATCACGCAGAAAAACAATTTCTCACGAATCAAACAAGTGTTGCATATTTTCGAGAGCACAAAACTGCAGATAAATGCGTAGTTTGTTATAGAACAACGCGATGTTTATTTATCACAAAAACAGTGTTGTTTTCCTTAAACGAATATACGAGTATCGAAGATGAGTCTACTAATTTCACGATAAAAATCGCACCAATCTTACAACGAGTTTTTAATTCGCTGTGTTGCGCGGATTTCTTTTCACACATTCAGAAAATCACTCAGCAATAATCTAGATTAAACGGAGATCAAGAGAGAGAGAGAGAGAGAAATTCCATTCCGATTCTTTTCACCTGTTGCGCGGAGAAACGTCGACCGCTCGTGTGTAATCCGTTTAACGATACTGCGAAAGATCGGATCTTAAATTCTTGACGTTTGGCCACGCAAAAATTTTTTTGCACTTTTACACAAGATTTTTATAAAAACAAAGCAGAAATATTTAATACTTTTTTTCGCGTAAAGTTGTTTTATATATCTTTTTCTAAAAAAAAAAAAAGATTTTAGGGATATTATTAATTTTTTTTGTTGTCGACTACTTTCGTAGTCGACCGACAGCGCGACTCATCTCTCCCGGGAACGAGACACGTGTCGCATATTTAATCCGCCGATCTGTACTTTTTTTTTGTATCGGCGTCTTGCGTTTGACGACGATGATCTACTAAAAAAAAAAAAAGAAAAAAAAACTGGAACACATTTTGCGTGCAATTGATCGTACATTTTAATCGGAACCCGTCAACGGTCGTGTCAGCTCGTTTGCAAACGCGATTTTCGAACAATATGTTTAAGTTATTCATGACAATTCGCGATTGTCGCTGACGTCACGCGATTTTTCACGATTGACTATTTTAATATTATATGTATTAAACTTATTATTTTATAAAAAAACTTTTTTCATAAGATTGTCATTGCTGAGAAGAAGACGCACACGCTACGACAGACAAAATTTGCAATCTCTTATTTTTGTCTCGTTGCATAATCATTTTTACATCTCTTTAATAAAGATAATATCTAAAAGGCCAAGCACTATAGCTTTAAAATACGATATGCTTAGTATTTCTATCTACATAGAAAATTAATTTAATTCTCAATCAGTTCATTCATTATTTAATCTGCGAGAAGGCTCGTGTTGCAATTACGACAAATTATACATGTATATATTTGCTTATTCTCCACCACACTTCGAAAAAGTATACTTTTTGTTCTTTGACGCAATTTTAATTATATCAAAACTTCATTTAATTATATCAACCTCACTTACACCTTTTTACCATCTAAAGTCGCGACATCTGACCTTCGCATATAAATAGTGCAAATATTAGCTTTTTCCTTATTGAAATTCGCGCCCTTTAATAGCAACGGGACTTACAGTTTAGCAGAAAGGAACGAAGATTGGAGTCGTAAATTAGGGTGCAAAAGAGTTAATAGGAAATTATTTATTACATGTATTTGTTATACATTACGTACACTTAGTTTTATAAAAATATATCTTTTGCCATGAAATAACATTATCTTGCATTTATCTAGCACGCGTTCAATTCTATGTTAGTTTGTGTTGCTTTTACTTCTGATTTGTTAATTCACTTCCAAAAATGTTTATATATTATTATATGTACAGTTATATATAAATTACATATTTATAATTGTATATAAAACAATTATATGATGAAGTACGAATTATATATAAAAAATCTGTCCATATGTAAAAATTGATACATTTATAATTTGCACGAAGCAATTAGTTCTCAATTGTTAACAGAAAATATTTTATCTTACACAAATTTTTCCTCCCTCCATCGGATTTTGTATTTTTAGATTTGAATTAATCCCCTGTTTATTTTGCATACACTTTATTTTGCATACACTTTATTTCACTAATTTTATTTTATAATTATTAACGTAGTCTCCGACTCACCAGACACGACGAAACTGTGCCGATCGTCCGGCGACGAGAAATCCAGGAAGAAAAACGAGCTCTAGGCGGAAGATGTTCTCACATGGGCGACGAAGAGATCATCGAGATAAAAGTTTCCGTTTCACGAGGATTCGGAATGATGCCGCGCAACTCAATGTCGCATTTGATTCTCGACAACAAGATCAAGAAAAAAAAAGAGAGAGAGTGGGAGAAAGAGAGAAAGAGTATCACCTCGTATCCGGGCAAAAGTCGGAGTTGATTTGACGCTTCTCGAATAGAGCCGCGCACCGATAAACAGCCAACGGTGGTGGGACAGCTTTGCGCCAGCGCAGAGATCACACTCATCTTCCCGACAAGTGTGAAATAGACAGGAAACACCATCGACATTACTCAGACAACAGATTCGAGTTGTATGCTCGATTTATTCAAGCAGTTCGACGAAGCAGCAACACTCAAGCAAGTAGGACATTGTTCGCGAACTGTTCGCGCGACTAATTCGTGCATACATACTTACACAAAGGTATTTTAGAAACAAGGTTTTCCTGTAGTTTCTCGCTTTGCAAATTTTTTTTTTTTTTTTCTTATTCAAACGAGTTGTTCGAATATTCGAAACAACAATTGAACGTTTGAGCAAACGTTCGAAATTTTCTTTTGTTAGACATTTTAAGACTCTCTCGCGTTTCAAGAGATATCGACGCGAGCTTATCTAAATCTCCCAAAGAGAAACTATGACGAATTTAATCGTTCAATGTTTTTTGCGTTAAGAAATATACTGATGCAAGCTATGAATTCTTTGCGAAAAACGAAAACGGAAATTTATTCAATTGTTCACGTTACATTTTATCACACATTCGGGGAAAAGAGGAAAGATTTCCGACAAAGTCGGGACAACATAATATTTCGGGCTTTAATCGTAAACTTCTGTTGGCAAACACCTGCTGCTGCGATCGGCGAGTAAGACTAAAATTTACGACTCGAATAAAATTAAGCTGACTTTGTTGTCGCGCGCGGACAACATCTCACTCAGGTTCTTCTTCCGCGCGCGCTTCTCTCGTCCCGCAATTGCGTTTAATTGCCAATTTCTTAATTGTATAATTTTTCATTAAGCGACTTTTCTCTCATCGAGATTTTCTTTGCGCGCGACCGATGGCCTTTTAAAACAACACCCTTCGAAACGCTCGAAACCCTTTATACGACGCCAATCGTTTTCTCGATTTATCCAACGCCACTCGCAGTTTTTTTTCCTGCACTCCAACGCGAGTGCATTTCGAGTTGATTAAAAGAAATTCTCTCTCTAATTGCGCGTTTGACCTTAAGTGCTGTTTTTGAGAGAAAGAGAGAGAGGGAGAGAGAGAAAAAGACAAATGTTTCGACATAATCTTCGGCGTGTATTACATTATCGCGAAAAAATTCAACGAGGAAAGCAAGTGTTTCCAGCTAAAGAAACTCTCAATTTTCTAACGTATTGATTCTCGAATCTTCTCGGAATCAAGATCTCCTTGTTTTATTTTCGCGAATTAAACAGTTTTCGCACGTATCGCAGAAAAGTATCGTCGATTTCCATAGAAAAATATAAAAAAGGTTTTTTTTTTTTTTTACAAGAAAGAGAAGATACGCGAGAGAAGTGTGTTGTGTATTCCATGCATACGTGATATACACGTATAATGAATTATCCGGCGCGGACCGGCAGACGGATTCTTCGTATGAATTCCAATGGAGATTGCTGTCAAAATTGGCGACATTTTGAAAGAAGTTCTTTTAAAAGAAAAGAAGCACATGTACGAAAGACAGACCGTTTGAGCGGTTTTCCTCTTTGCTTTTATCTGTTTTGTTTTGAACATCCGAAATACATGAGGTAATTAATTCAATAGCTTTCAATCTCTCGTTTTTGAAAGAAAAGTTAACAGAACGTTTTAAAAACAAAACCAAGGTCGCGTTTCGAGATGTCGCAGCGCACAAATGTCGCCAAAAATGTTAATTATGTTTTTGTATGTATGTTTTTAGATACATATTAGATTCGAACAGACACACAGTATTTATCTTTCGCGCGAGATACACACCAAACAAAAGATCCGCATCAGACTTGTAACACGATCGTACATACGTAGATTTGTATGTTGTGAGAGAAAAACAAGTTGTGCGGAACACAAAAAGAAAAAAAATCTGAATAAAAGTAATAATTTATACACGCGGCAACACACTCGCGCAACGTTTCTTGAGTTATCATCTGAACAATTGACTCGACTTATTTTGATTTGTTTATGAATTTTTATTCACATATCATCAACTACTCTAGGCGCGCGAGTGACGTCGTCTTGAATTTTATTCGCTCGTTACGTGCGCGACCCACACACGCGTGCATCTTCTTGCTCCGTCTCTTACTTACTTAGGTTTGCTATTTCTAAATTGTTCGCAACTTCCAGTTAGATACACTTGGAGTTTTCTCCGATTAGTTCGTACACATACACATCGCCAATTGCACGTGGCACACTGTCCTCTTTTATTTATACGGAAGAATAAAACGTGCTCACACTTTTATCCACACGTGGTCTAAGTCTCACTTAAGCTCGGAATATGCGCGCGCGCGAAACTTTTTCAATGAATAAATTTTTACGTTTCTTCGCGTGTAAACGCGCGAACAAAGTGTACTGACAAAACAAAATTGTAGAGGCAAATCGTAAAAGTTGTTTCGTTGTTTTACGAACGCGTGAATAATATATGTAATAGAGTATTTTTTTCAATTAAGTTTCAGCGGAAACGATGATGCGACTTATCTTTATCTAAGCGTTAGAATTTTAATTAATCACGAAAACAGAGAGAAAAAGATAAAAAAGAAAATAACTATCAAAATCGCGTAGTATATTTTTTCAGCCGCTCGAAGACCGCCGGATCTTTTCTCCTTTTTTTTTTTTCATATTTCTTGATTTTTCGCTATCGGTGACGGAAAGGGAAAGGAAACGACTCCGGAACTGTCGTAAAAAATAAGATAAAACTCCGAAACGTTTCTGTGTGACGTGATATGACGCGCTGTCGGATGGAACGCGATCCCTCCCGAGACATTCGTTTCGCCGGAGAAAAAATCACGACGGAGTCGTGCTGCAAAAGTTATCGGCGCGACACGGTCTCGGCAAACGTTACAATCGTCATATTTGCGTGCAAAGTGACATTTCGCGTTGCCGCGAGAGAAATGTGTAGATCGACATTTGTTTTCGTCGGGCGTTACGTCGAACTGGCTCGTTTTTCTGCAAAATTGTGAAACCCGGATTCTAATGCAACGTCAACATTTTAAGCATCTGGAAATGCAACTGGTCTCAAGAGCAACTACTCCGACGGATTTAAAGTTTTACGACGCGTCCTTGATTCGCGTCCGCGATTCGATTTTAACGAAGACGTTCGCGAAACGAATTGTTTGTTTGCAACAATTACGTTGATTATATTTCTGATATAAATTGATATTATTTTGCGTCTCTCTCACAAATAAACCCGCGCAAGAACAGCACATTCCATACAAACCTCCATTAGATGTTCATTCAGACGTCACATGGAGTTATGGACGTCCATTAGACGTCTAATGGACGTTATGTGTCTGTGCGGGGGAATCTATTATACAGCAATAAATTGTATGATTTGATGGGGAGAAATGTAATTTAATTACAATTAAACGATGTCAAAGTGTATTTATACGCATCTCTTGCGTATTGACGCAAAGTTTTCCCAGAGTTGTAGTTTTTGACGATCAGATTTTTTGACACAATTGTCAATCCATTCTGTGACTGGCGCGGGGCGATAAGAGAAAACTGGTATCGAGAAAGCCGGTAATGGATTACCAGATATATAGCGCTGTATCTTATCGCGAGCGGATAACACGCCGGATAACATCTCTCTCTCTCTCTCTCGTTCTCATCAAATTTGCAAAATGTGTTCGCATTTTTTCTAAGTGTCGCATCTGCTCAAGCTTATCTGCGTGTAAATGCCGTTCTTAAATGCGTTCGAATGAATATCTTTATTTTTTAATAGAAGTAATATCTATTTCTGTAAACTAAACGTCTATTTCTTCATCATTGAAACGACTTCAATCACGGTCGTCCAAATGCTTAACGAGATTTTTACAATTTCTCGAAAATATACGGACTGTCTTTTGACGCATGAATATCCAAAACTCACGCGCACTGTTCGATACGTCAAAAAACTCGATGCAAACTGTCGTGTCTGTGTGTGTGCTCCCGAATATAACAATATAAAAGATTCTGTAATCTCTCTCTTGTCGTCTCATAATACTTTGGAACTTGTATAAAACTTTGAAAACTCGGATGTTTACTTGGAACTTGGAAACTTGAACTGTTGATGGGAACAGCACGCGCGCTATAATAGAACGCGGAGAGGAGAGAGCACGCACAATCAATATTAATTGCTTGAACGCGGCGCGTTTGTCACATGTCGGCACTGTTCTTCGCGTCTTGTTTTTTTTTCCAAGTTTTGCCCTCGCGATCGTGATTGTCGACAAGAGTTATATATTTGCGAAACGCAAGAAGAACGTGCTCGAAGAACGTCGCGAATGAGACGTTCACTTCACGTACCGCTATCTTATGGATCTCACGTATAAAAAACAACGGAAAAAATTGCAACAAAAAATGTTTCAATTTTTGTGGAAATGTTTATGTGAAAAAATATTTTCCATAAAAAATTTATATTCCAGCGCATCGTGTGTGCAAAACGGAAGCGCGTATATCGCAAACATGCGCGTAACATCGCGATGAATTACAACCCTTGTTGTCTAGATTATTTAATTTATTGGCAATAATCGGCTAATAAAACGGCGCATTAAACCAATTACAACGGAAATAGAACGCAACACGGTCGATTTCATAAAAGATCCGACCTTCGCAAATTTTATAGTGCGTTGCGCGCGCGTATATCTCACGAATGCGAAAACCGAGGGAGGAAATCATCGGCAAATAACAGCTATAATAATATAAACAAGAGGTTTTATTGTTTTGGAATTTTATTTTTAAAAGATATGCGTAAATTTGTATAAACATGTGGTATATAAAAAGATGTCTCTCACGCGAAATGCAAATTGGTGTTTTCGTACGTAGCTACGCTGCCGCGATAATCGACGAGAAGTGTCGATCGTAATTTTTTGTTATCGCTAGTTTATATTCTTACATGTACAAACATCACAATTGATTATCTTCCTCCCCCCCTTCTTCCTTTAAGCGCAAACGCGCGATGAAACAAACTGACAGATTTTTTATATAACAAGTTTTTCTTTCTTATCCATTATTGAGGTATTCTTTTTATTTATTTATTTTTTTTTAGTTTTTTTTTTTTAGTTTTGGACGTAACTTCACTTTACTTTCATTTCTTCTTATAAACAAATCTCCGCTATTTCTTTTTCATGATTTTTGAACCACTTTTGATTTTTCAATATCTGAGCTTCCGCTTTCAATCGGCCGCTAGCGCCGGCGCCCGCGTCAGGCCACTTCTCGAAGAAATTCTTCAACTCCTGATATCTCTGCGGTGTGAAGAAGTACCGTGTGATTGACGGTATGAGCTGACCGAGATAACGGTCGTTCAACGTGTAACGATTGACCAAGAATTCCCAATTAGCGCGCACCCAGTCCCACACCTCTATCGAACCGTATGTATTTTTGGAGATCATAATCAAGCAATTCAAGAAATCCTGAGGACGTACGTACTGTTCCTGTTTGGCCATTTCAATGAATCTGACAAAAAGGAAAAATCAAAACATTAATTGATCTTGAAGGCAGAAAACATTCAGATACAAAAACATCGCATCGGATCGTGCGCAATACCAACTTTCTCAAAATAATGTCGGACTCTATGCCAGTCAGTCCGTACATTATTCTGTTCTTTTCGTTGGGGTCGGTCTCGTTTAAGAATTTATCGAACAAACGATGCCACGCTTGCGAGAGCAGCGAACTGTCCCGAGCCATGTTTTTTCCGCTGCTACGCAAACCTAAAAAAAACATTAGAACGCAAGTTTTATTAGTTTGATTCCGGCGAATCAAATGTGATACAATAAGAGCAATATATCACAAACGGAATATATGGACTAACCGTAGTAATAAACCAACGAACGAATGTCGGGATGTAGTTCTATCAATCCGTCTAACCAGGCATTGAAAAGCTTGTTGACCTCATTCAAACACTCCTCTATTTTTATGAAACAGGCAAACCTAAGTATTGCTATTCGCGCTCTTCTGGTGATGTGGAAAGGCCCGGTGTCCTCCGTGGTCTCGTTAACGATCCAACCCGCATCTCGATAGATGTTGAATCTGTATGCTTTTCTCAGATATTGCTGTAAAATATCATTACGGGATTGATGCAGAAATGATCATATCAGTTTTGTGAAAGGTACAAAAACGCTTTTTACTGATACGATCACATTACCAGGAAGATTTCTGAAGATTCCAGACTATTTAATTCTATCATGTTGTAGATCGGTAGCAATTTCGAATACACAGTTTCCCACGGAGCAGCGGAATATTCCTCCGAAAGATACTTAATAAAGGTAAATGCCGTCCGGTAGCTACAATGGCCGTCTTCGGCCAGACTGAAGACGTCGTCCAAAAGATTCACTCGGTCTGCTATCGACAATCTCTGCAACAGAAATCAACAAAAATTTGTGTCATCGTGAGAAAATATTCAGAATCGATCGAGACAGAAGAGAGCGAGAATAATTAAGTATTAAAATAAAACACATTGTGTGAAAGAGCATTTGTTTCTTATTCGTGTTAAAAAATTTTATTTGTGACAAAACAATGTCAATAGACAATTTACCGTGTGATGATAGGAAAGCAAAGACGCGAGCGACGACCACTCGATATTGTAATTGACTCGATAATAACCGACTTGGTCCACGTTGAATTTGATCCATCTGGTATCTTCATTGAGTATAAGTTCGACTGTAAATTTTTATTAACAAAGAGAAACATTATACGTGCAAATTCGTTTCTTGTTGTAAACAATTTTTAAAATCAAAGTTTGTTTTTACCCTTTTCCTCATTCTTGTCGAACCAAATAAGAGTTGGTGTTCCGTTTTTGTTCGTGATGTAAGTGATAGGTATAGTCCATCGTAAACTGCACACATAAGTACATAAACGGTTAATTGTTGTTTCAAAATACAATTTTTCATTTTATTTCTCGAGAGAGAAATAAAATAACACACCTACTAAAATCTTCTTCTTCCGTTTTATCATCATCATCATCATTATTTGTGCGATAATATTGCTGAGTTAATATGCATTTCTCTTCATGTCTCTTCACGTTAATTACAGGATAACCTTTCTGTTTCGTCCAAGGGTCTATTATATCGGTGATATTTAATTTATTACCGATCGCATCTTGCAAACAGCTTAGCAGATCCTTGGTTTCTGCGTTACCGTATGCATACTTCTCCAAATAGTTGGTGATGGCACCGTAGAAAACATCAGACGTGATGAAATTCTCTATCATACGGAGTACGCATGCTCCCTGGCAAACAACGGTTTGAATAAATCTGTTGAAACTTCATATAAATGTCGCACAATTATAATAACTATATATTTCGTCATACCTTCTTATAGGATATGTCATCAAAGAATGATGTTATCTCGTCCGGATTGTTGACGTCGTAGATTATCGGATGAGTGCTTTTGGTTGAGTCGTAGGACAACACCGGGTGCATTATTTCAACCACGAAATTATTCATCTGAAATAAATATTCATTTGTGAATCTTGTTCTCGTTGACCCACATCATCAAATCATTGATCTTTTATATTTGTGAAATCGGGCTATATATCATTATTCGATCGTAACGTTAATACAAAAACTCACATGTCCTTCGTTCGGTTGAAAATCATTTGCGCTTTTATACGACATGTACGTAGCAAAACCCTCGTTGAGCCACAAATCGTTCCACCAAGACATAGTGACTGCAAAGAAAGAAACATCTCACATAGTGTGGTTGCATATAGTCACATAAAATCCATAAATAAATGCGATATATAAATACCAACCAAGATTTCCGAACCACATGTGAGCCAGTTCGTGACAAACCACATTAACGACATCGTGCTTATGATTGATAGGATCGTTGTAAGAATCGTGAAGCAATCTTGTTTCTCTGAAAGTCACTAAACCCCAGTTCTCCATTGCCCCAGAGACAAAGTCCGGAATAGCAACCAAGTCTGAACAACAAACACATCGCGACACTTAGAAAATTTATATAAATTTATGAGAAAAATTAAAAAAAAAAAAAAAAAAAAATGACACAATCAAATCTGATACTTGCCGAGTTTTGGCAAAGGATAGTCTGTTCTGAACAACTCTGCGTAATATTGAATTGCCTCCACGGCGGTGTCTAGAGCAAGAATGCTTTTCGTAGAATCGTGAATAGGTGCGGTGTAAACGGTAACATTAAAACTGCGTGTATTCAAGGTTGTTGCAGTTTTAGTTTGACCATTAAAATTGCTGAGGATAACACAAGCCAAATAGGTCGACATGCGTTTACTTTTTTCAAAGATTGTATATGCTTCCCTGTCTTGTCTTCCTTGGATTTGTTCCTAAAAAAAAACGAAACATATATTCTCAGACAAGTATGTAACAATCCTAGAGAGAAACAATATCGGAGCTGGGACATTTCGAGCATTTCGCATCAAAAACTCGTGCAAAAATAAATAAAGGGGGTCAGAATTGTAGAAAAATATTTACGTACCACTATATTCATATTAGACAAAGGATGATAGTCGATTTGTTTGTTATAGCGCAATTTTATTGTGAACGTAGCTTTGAGATTAGGTTCATCAAAACATGGGAATGCTTGTCTGGCATAAGTTGGCTCAAACTTGGTGGTGGCAATGTAACTGATAGCAGTCAAAATATGTAAAGGAACGCATTACAATCACAATTAATTATGTCATGTCACAATGAGCTTTTTTGTGCTGTATACTTTGATTTATACGCGCTGCTTATAAGCAAACAAGTTTATATTACCTTAGTGTTTTTTTCTTGTTTACATATTTGCTGGTATAAAGTCCAACCATTTTATTCGCCATGCTGCCATTAAACACCATGCTCAAATTATACAATCCTGGCTTAAGATCATTTTTGAGCACTACTACAAACATGTCGTGATCCGCATATTTTGTGTCTTCAATTTCAACTTCATAGTCTGTTTCCAAACCGTAGGTTGTCAATTTTGTGTCTGTGATTTTGAGATCCTTTTGATGAAGAAGTATGGTCTTTCTCTTATCGAGAACGTCGATGAGAATAGTGACGTTTCCGATAAAAGTAGAGTTTTCGAGTACAGGATGTAACAGAAGATCGTAATGCACAGGCTTGACTTCCGACGGCAGCCTGTAGCTTGATTTAACAACGCTCATTTTTTCAGGATTCGTCTCCAATTTCGTATCTAAATAAGACAAAGATACAATAAACTGTAATTGTCTCACTCATGAACTAAGTAAAGAAATGAACACAATCAGGACACAAACAAACCTCAGAAGTAGTCTTGAACTTTAAATAATTTTATGTCTCTCTCTCTCTCTTTTTCTTTGACCAGTAACTATGAAAAGCTATTCGATATGTGTAGAATCTCTTAAAATGATTAATTTTTTTTTTTTGAAGAAAATTGTCTGACGTGGAACACAGTACAGAGATAACACACAAGTTAACGCAGGCGTGCACGCAAACGTTCCCAACTATTATCTTAATACACTTGTATCTAATCAATTAGTCGCGTGTCGCAGGTCGTGACTCGCAAAACTCTCGAATTGATCAACGCGATCTATTTATTTGACGATTTTAATCAAAATTTTGCAAAATTTTTGTTCAACAAAAATGAAACATCAGTTAAATCGTTAATAACAAAATATAAATTTTTTTTTTATTTTCTCAAGCCATAATATGTACTACGTAATGTATTGGAGAGAGAGAGAGAGAGAGCAGACGTTATTTTTGCAGATTAGAAACAACGCAGAATTTGATATACGACCAGTGAATCATATCAAAACATGTGGGAAGAACACGAGAGATTTTTTTTTTTGCGGGGACACGTGTTATTTGGTTGAACAGAGAAATGCGAGCGTGCTTACCAGATGAATCAGAATTTTTTTCCTCGGAAGTATTCAAAACAACCAGTGCTCCTGCGCCAAGACAGATCAAGCACAAAATAAAGCAGACGCTGCAAACAAGCCAAAACCATCCGGAGACGGGTTTGCGTCGTGCTCGAGATGTTCGAGTCATTGATGTCGCGTTGGTTGCGCCGTCTCTCGGCGAACCTTTGATTTTTCCGCTCATCAAAAGGCCGCGTAACTACAATCTTTCTTCACCAGACACCCAGACTACGTCCTCTCTCGAGTCTAAGAAACGAAACAAAATGACGCATCAAAATTAAAAAATTAAAAAATTAAATTGCGAGAACTTTCTTGTAATTTACAAACAGAAGGTGAAAGTTTCTGAAAAAATGCAAAGAATGGCGTTGCGAGTAGATTGTATTTTTGCTGTGCTCTCGAGAAAGAAGATACAAAATCAGGCGTCGTTTCTTATACAATTTTTGAGACGAGGAATCCAGTGGTGCTAATTAAAATTACGTCGTGCATCGAAGACAAAACGATTGTAGTTCGATCCCGTTCAACGCGAAAATAAGTTTCGGAACATAGCGCACTGCTCCGAGTCTTTCATTTAATGAATCAAATTAGATTTCCGAAGATAGAATCTATTCTTATTAATGATCGCGTCATCGGATGACTTCTCTAGTTTTATTTAACTAAAAATTACGACGATCAGAGTTTAAATCTCTGCTGCACAGTCGCGGTCGACGCGTATCCGCTCGCGTCATTCTGAGATAAGAGGGGATTCGCTTTTCAGATTTCAATTGACGCTTTGTGCCAGAACGAGATTCACGCGCGATCTACTTTTCTCGGCAACGGGGTCAAGAGATTTAACTGTTTGCTTATAAATCTCTCGCTATATATCCGTAAATTCTCTCTTCCGGTTTCCTATCGGTCGCTCGTCAAAGAAAGCGCGTATCCGCGTTGTGCAGCAAATGAAGAAGACAACCGCGAAGTACATCAAAACGTAACAAAGTATTTTACTAAAGATTATATATTTCATCGCATCGCGCAGATTTAATTAATTAAATTTTTTCTCTCAGTATCATCGCAGGCGTGATAATTCGGTCGATTATACTGTCGCGGTCTTTGCGCGTCTGATTTGTTTAGCGCGTGTTGAGTGCGCGTGATCAATCAAAGTGAGAGTGCTCCAATTTTCGCGACACAGGAGCGAGTGCGGAGCGATTTATATCTATTATTTCGTAGAAACGAATCATCTCGGTTGAAAGACGTATTATAGCGCGACCGATTACGAGCTCGACGCAAAGTGGAATGATTAGACGTAATCATGTAACATATATATATATATATTTATATATACAGGGTCCGCCACTTAAATCCGGAC